AGTCCCCGGGGAAGACCCAGGACACGCTGGAGGGACTATGTCTCTTGGCTGGCCTGGGAACGCCTCGGAATTCCCCTAAAGGAGCTGGAGGAAGTGTCTGGAGAGAGGGAAGTCTGGGCATCTTTGATTAGACTGCTGCCCCCGTGACCCGGTTCCGGATAAGTGGAGGAAAATGGAATGGAAATGGAATGTTACACTTGCCATTATTTGTTTTTTAATAGAAACATAAATACAGTGAAGGACTTGTACATTTCTTTTTTTTTTCTCGAGTTTTATAGAGTGGCTGCCAGCATTATACAAATGGGGGAGGAAGTGATAGGGCCATTGTTTGTTTACTCATTACAGCTGCGTTACTGTTTCACAAATAAATGTAAACCATGCTATATCTTGCTACTTTACCGTTAAAGGATTGGTTCAGGATTTTGACAAATTGACCCTAAAACACTTTTGACTTGCCCATATGTACATGACTGTGTGTCTTAGCTGCTGTCACTTTTGGCCAAAAATGACGCTCGACAATTTGTCCTAAAAACGTAGAATATTCGAACCATTCAAACATCTATTTTTGCACATTATGTCCATAAGAGGGCAACCTAACACAATGAGAGACATTACTAATTGTAAATGTGTATTTATTTTAGCATAAAACATCTTTTATAAAGATCGGCAGTTCTACACATTCCATGATTATGGTACCGTGGTTCCACTTCCTGACAGAACTCCCTGAAGCCGCAGATGCTTTTTTTTAAACAATTGAATATTAATTTTCACAGTCGACTGTCTTTTTCTTTTTACTATTTGATTATATAATTGAATTTGGTTTATTCGTTAACAGCCCTAATTGTGAGTATGCTGTAAAAAGGGAGACTTAAAAGCTTGTTTAAAGCAGAGGGCGCATTTCCAAATAAAGCCTCACTTTGAAGCTTGTGCTTTTTTCTGGGTCCACATATTCAGATATTCGTTCACTGGGTCAGCAGTCGGGTTTCAATTTTAGCATTCAAATATTTGAGAATCCCACCCCACCCCCCGCCACTACACAGCACATTGTGCCAATGACACCTACAGCCTTGTTAGCAAAGCTCAGTGTGGAAATCATTCAGGTTCTGCTGACCGTCGCTGTTTCTGTCATTTTAACAAATGGATCATACCAGCTGTCTCTCACAAACCTTGACGCTGTGATGTAAGTAGAACTTTAACCACAGCACTGTGAAAGCAGGTGAGGACTGTGCAATTTTTATCTGATAAGCTAACAGCATTGTACTGTAGGTCCCAAAACTGAGATCTTTGAAAAGCTTAGCATATAAAGGGTCAAGTAGTGGGTTTAGAAGATTCATGATATGTAGTCTCACAATTTGTTAAGATGGAGTGTATTTGGGATTCAGCATAATGTTCAACTGGATCTGTAGAAGGAACTAGGTTTGAGGAACTAATGTTGTCTCTAATCCATTTTACTCTAGTAAATAAAACAAATATAATGAGCCGTACAGGGTGATCAGCTAAGAAACAGGCTTGTGCAAGTTTGGCTGAAGACATCTGGGACTGTTTACTGTTGCAGATTAAATGAGAGAAATATGCAGCTCTAGCAGCAGACAGAGCACACCTGTATTTTAGTACACAAGTTGGAGGTAGAAAGCATCACATTTTGGTCAAGTCCCCCTACAGTCCTGCTTCAGGGCACAGGTTTCTTAAGTAAACCAGGGTGTAGACCTGTTTGACCATCTGCAGCTGATTTCAGGGGACTAGACAGGAAGACACTTTTAAGTTGTTTTCAACAGAGCCAGTTGCTGCAGTCCATCACAGTTTACAGACCAAATAAGACCAAAATCCTATTAAATCTAAACTCTCTTGGTTTAAAATGGTTCAGCACTAATTCATACTAAAGCATTGTATTTTATTAAAAATAAACCTAAGGTTATGGGTTTCTAACCTTTCAGAAGAGCTGGCCCTGGAGAAGCTGACGGTCAAAGTAACTGAGCTCCAAACAGATCTGCATGTCATCACATCTGTGCTGAGACGGTGTCCATGTCTCACTTCACTTCACATAGCTGGGATGACGTTACCATCTGGCTCCTCTCAAAGCCAGCTCCTCAACACTCTCTCAGGTAATGTCAGTGAAAGGGTTGACCACAGTTTGAGTGCCCAGGCTGTCTACCAGGTGCACACAAAGCACCAGGGCACTCCATTATTGGAGCGAGCTGGGTAGCCTATTAAATGCATCAGAGCCACACTGCTGTACCGGGTGACATGTTCCTTAGTTACCATGAAGACACACACTGCTGTTTATTTTGACCCAGTGTTAAAATGTCAAAATCTATTGCATTAGTGAATAAAGCTCAAGATTCCTGCATTTTATACAATATATACATTATTTTGAACCAAAAGTCAATACTTTGTTCAACTCTACACATTAAAGGTCAAATTATGCTCATTTTCAGGTTTATATTACTATTAAAATGTTACGACAAACGTTTAAATGCTTGTAAAGACACACATTAGCTTATAAAGCTAAACTAAACAACCACAGATGTTTGAGCAGCAGCCTGGTCCAAAATCAGGAAGAAATAAGCAGTGCTGGCTTTCAGGAATACAGCTGTCCCTGATGTTTTCATCAGGTAAATGCAGCTATTTATATATTGCTACAACATTACGTTGGGCTAGTATTCATGCATGGACTCATTCATTCATTTTCTACCGCTTATTCCCTGAACGGGGTCGGAGCCAATCCTGGCCAGCAATCGGGCGAAGGCGGGGTACACCGTGGACAGGTCGCCAATCCATCGCAGGGCTAACACATAGACGAACAACCACACACGCACTCCTATGGGCAATTTAGAGACACCAGTCAACCTAAGCTGCATGTCTTTGGACTGTGGGAGGAAGCCAGAGTAAGCACGGGGAGAACATGCAAACTCCACACAGAAAGGTCCCAGGTGGGGCCCGAACCCGGAACCTTCTCGCTGGGAGGCAACGGTGCTAACCACTGTGCTGCCCTATCTAACAAGAGGATATTTGGAACATTAGTAGTTTTCTGTGTTAAAAATACACTTAATAAAATTTCAGAAGTAATCCAAGAAGCAGCAGAGTGAGTGAGGTATCCACTGTTCTCATGACTGACTTTACAAAGTAACTTATGTATTGGAAAATCTACACATTAACCAGTGTCTCTGCAGCCACTGTGCTGACAAGCTTTTACTCCTCAGACAGTTATTCCCATTTTTATGCTTTAAAATGTTTGTTAGAGCTTCAGATTAGTTTAGTGATACACTTTCAAAATACAATCCAAAATCAGAAAAAGTTGGGGCGGTATGCAAAATCTAAAACTGTACACAGTGATTTGTAAATAATCGGTGTCCTGTATTACTTTATCAGAACGAGAATCGGCTTTATTGGCCAGGTATGCTGAACACCTGAGGAATTTGTCACTGGTACAGTGGCTCTCAATTTGTATGTACAGTGTTCTTCCATAAGGCTGAACCAGATAAGGCTGAGAGAACAAAATAACATATAAAAAGATATATAAATACTAAATTGCTTAAAATAAACAAACCATAAATACATAACCTATGTAAACAAACCATCTTAATACAGATTCCTTAGATTTATTTATTTATTCTTGTGATCAAGGCATACTGAGCAGGATATTTGATAATGTGTAATGGTGACTGTTGTCATTTCTGCCTAGCAAATGTATTGGTGTAGGTGTAAAACAAATGTACTCTGAACTGCTGTCAGTAATAACATGATCAACTTTTAGAGTCGAATCACCGCTTAAGGAGTCTCAACCTGGAAGATATGAAGCTGGCCGACTGCCTCCCTGAGATCCTTAATCTACTAAGACACTGCAAGTTGGAAGGTAAGAACATGATTGAGGTCAACCAGGCGGAGCATAAGAGCAAAGTGGACTGACTCACTTCTGTTCATAGTATGACTTGGCTCCCCAAGGTTAAAAAATACGGTTAATAGGGGTGTGACGATACGCTCAGCTCCCAAGACGAGACAATACATGATAGTGGGTTCACGAGGTTAGGCGATATTTTAAGAAATCCTCAAAGACAAAATATAACTGGAAAGTCACATAATGCAAAACACTGCAGGTGCATTTTGAAATATTTTAACTAATCATCCTGGAATGAATGTCACTTTTCTGCTTTCTGATATGATATGGTAATTCATATGCTGCAAAAGACAGCAGTATGCAAGCAGAGTAAAAGGCTTCACCACAGGCTCAGCTGACTGACTTCTCTCCTGTGTGATTTCACGTGTCTCTTCAGACCTAAAAACTGTGCATGAAAAAACTGCTTAATGCATCTCCAGGAGCACTTAGATTAAGTTAATAATCACATTTAGCATTCTTTTCATGTTGGACGGTCTGAAACAGAATTTAGTTCATGGTTTTACTTCAGTCTCAGCCTCTTCCCTTTCCCTCAGAGCTGCAGTTTAATGATTGCCGTCTTCTTGAGCAATGGAGCAACAAGGAGGAGAGTTTGCAGCGGTTGGTGGCTGCTCTGAAGGCAGTGCCTTCCCTTAACATGTTAAGCCTGGCTCAGAATCGGCTAGGTAAGAACATCCTTGACATCTTTCCTCTAACAGGATTCAGTTTAGGAATACATTAGTACCACTTTATTTTCTCTGGTGTATTGAGTGCAGCGTAATCTCCACACACTGATGCTTATACCATCCAAGTCCCCAGTTATTTTCTGTCGCAAACTTTTCCGCTGGTATCTGTTGTGATTACATAGGCCTAACCATCGGGGGTAACGGGGGGGTTCAGTGTCTTGCCCAAGGACACTTTGACACGTGGACTGCCGGCACCGAGACTCGAACCTTCAACCTTCTGGTTGGGAGACGACTTCTCTACCACTGCACCGCTGTTGCTCCCCAAATAAGATTATAGATGCCACTGAAAATTAACTAGAATATATTAATCCATATAATTATCAGGTGTTTGTACTCAAATGTATAATTCTGGGGCACAATGCCTCCACAGTGGGAACAGGGATTAGGAATGGAAGATAGAGCTTAGAGAGGGACACGTGAGGAGAGAAGAAGTACTGTAAGTGTCCAGGCAGAAAAACTCTTTACTTGTGTGCATTGTGTGTATGTTCATGTTACGTGTTTCTTCTGCCAAACTGCCTGTTAATGCAGGTTTGAACAGTGTAGTTTGGCTTGCTAAGGACTATTAGGTCAGACATGAAAGAAGTAGTTTTTTCCTTTACACTCAGTCTCAGCAGAAATGTGACTTGTGTGTTTCTAATTCCTGAATAGTTTAGAAAGGGAGTGTTTCAGCTGTGGCAACTAATCTTAATGCATGTGTTAACAGCCAAGAACGTGTATGTACTGGCAGAGCTGTTCTCCGGATCCTCACCGAGCTCAGTGAAACGACTAAACATCAGGTAAGGCTGCAGACAACACAGGATGCTGCCTCAGACTTCTCTGGTGGATTGAACAGCTTAGTTATTAGCTGATGTACCACAATAAATACAGCATTTCAGTTTTCAACATTCACACTTGTAACCAGTTAAAATGGAGAAATGTCGACTCGGGCTTTGTGTTGTGTGGACCACACTGAGCATGGAGAAAAGAAAGAAGGGCAAAGAATTGTCTGAGGATCTGAGACCCACAACAGTGGAAGAGCCTGGGCAGTCTCAAAGCTTCAAGTCCATGTCCAGAGATCTGGCTGTTCCTGTGTCCACTGTGCACACTATCAAGACGTTTACAGCCCATGGCGCTGTAGCTGATCTCCCTGGACGTGGACGAAAGAGAACAATAGATGACAGATTGTAATGAAGGATTGTTTGAATGGTGGATAAAGAACCTCGATCAACTCCCAAACAAATTCAAGCTGACCTGCAGACAACACAGGGTGCAACAGTGTCAGCTCACACTATCCGTCGTCATCTGAACGTTAAGGGACGCTATGGTAGGAGACCCAGGGGACCCACTGCTGACACAGAGATATGGCCATTATGAAACCTGAAGACTACCAGTGAATTCTGGGGCACAATGTAGGACCCAGTGTCAGAAAGTTGGGTCTCTGTCAGAGGTCATGGGTCTTACAGCAGGACCCATGACCCAAAGCAGACTTCAAAAATCACCAGAAATGGTTTCAGACAATGACCTGGAGTTGTGAAGTGGCCAACAATGAGTCAGGATCTAAATCCCATACAGCTCCTGTGGAGAGACTGGGTCAGTGTGTCTCCCAGACTGCAGGAGTGGTTGGGTGTTCCCGGTCTGCAGCAGTTAGTACCTACCAACAGTGTTTAAGGAAGGACAAACAGTGAACCGGTGACAGGATCATGGACACAAAAGGCTCACTGATGATGAGGTTGATCAACTGGTTCAAGGTTCAAAGGTTCAAAGTGTTTGTCATATTCATAGTAAGGAAATGTGTTTCCCTGTACAATGAAATTCTTACTTTGCCGTCCACACTGAAAGCCAAACAGCACAAGTGAAATATAACGTGGATAAATAGTAGCACAAACTCTAGAGGCACTTTAAACAGTGAGTGAAAAGAAATATAATAAGAACACAATAAGACAATGTATGCTACATCGGAGCTGTATGTGCAACAGTCAGCAACTATGCATGTAAACAGTACAGGTGGAATTACATGAAGTAACTCCTGATTGTGAACTCCTGTCAGCTGTTTAGGAGTCTGATGACAGCTGGAAAGAGAGTTTTTCAGTCTAGTGGTCCTGCATTTCACACTTCTGAACCTCCAGCCTGAGGGTAGGGAGGTGAACAGTCCATGCCGGGGGTGGGTGGGGTCCTTGAGGATAGGGGCAGCTTTCCTACGCACGCTGTGGTGGTAAATACTCGAGGGCAGTGGAGTCCTGGTGATCTTCTCCACAGTCTTTACCACTCTCTGCAGGCGCTTGTGGTCCATAGCAGTAGTGCTGCCAAACCAGACAGTGATGCAGCTGGTCAGGATGCTCTTGACGATGCAGGTGTGTGTGTGTGTGCCTTCTCTGTGCTGTAGCTGGAGGTCTCAAAGCGGGTGTAGAGGGTGTTGAGGTCATCCAGCAGGCTGTCTGTGGAGCTGCTGATGGTGGTGGTGGTCCTGTAGTCTGTGATGTGCTGCAGGCCTTGCCACATCCTTCCGGAGTCAGCAGTAAAATAGAAGCCATTCAGCTTCTCTCTGTACTGCCTCTTGGCCGCTGTGATGGCTTTCCTCAGTTTGTACTTCGCAGCTTTATACTCCATCTCATTGCCTCATGTGGCGTACCTGACTGTTTATCCAGGGCTTCTGGTTGAGGAACCTCCTGACTTGTACAGTGGGCATGATGTTGTACTGTATATTAAACATTCAAACTCCATTTATCCTTTTCAAAAGATTTCATTTACGTTGAACCCTTGTTAAAATGGTTGAAAATGAGAAAAACTGTACATTGGTCGCTATGAAGAGAAACATTCAGCACCTGTAGTGATGTTATGTAGCGATGACATTTTTAACCTGTCCCTCACCCAAGCAGTTGTGCCAACATGCTTCAAAACATTTTAAATGCAGAGCTTTTACTTTCACCACTGGTGTTCTAATGCTTTATTTGTTATATATAACATGATGATCTCCATGTGCTGTCTTTTGTCCTGACCAGCTCCAACTTTATTCAGCCTGCTGATCTGCTGGAGTTTGCCAAGAGGTTGAGGACACATCGTCCCCCACATCGACTGACCCTCGACCTCAGGAGGAACCCAGGTGATCGAGACCTTGACATGTGGAACACTGCACTAGGGAGCCTCCGTCCATTCTGTGTTCTACTGGTTGAGGGATGGAAATCCACCGACACAATGGTCGACCACATCAGCAATATGTGAAGAAAGCTGAAGAAACATTTGTTCCGAGAATCTGACATTGAAAGCTGGCTTTAAAGTTCCTTCATGTAAAGTCTGCACTGTTCTGTTCTCTGTTTAGGTTCAGTTCAGATAGTTATGTACTGTCGATTCCAGTTACAAGTTTTTACTGTTTAAGAAAACCCTCAAAATGTCAAAAACCAATCCAACCACACCTGCAGCATGAGTCACTTCTCTACTGGCTATCCAGTGCAGTATTGTTCTAAACACTCATCTATTCACTGTGTCCAAATATGAGTCTCTATTCCATCTGGATCACAATCTGCAGTGGAACATGGACGTATGCGAGTATACTGAGCTTACAGATGGACCAGAGAAGTGGACCAAGCCCTGCAAGTGGCCGTACAACTTCTCATAGCCATTTATTCACATTTCTATTGTAATTATACATTTTCTACTAAGATTACTGTTGTAAAACAAATAACTTTGATTTTTCCTCTTCAGTTCTGACACACGATTAGTTCTATACATGTGACATTTAGCTTGTTCTCCAGTGCCATTGTGCACCATCCGAAAATAAAAGAGCATCCCGTCTTAGTTTGACATTTGAATCATTTATTTAACCAATCTGTTACACTTCCAGAATCGTCTCTCAGACAGTATGTGACAGTGGACATTACAATATAACTGAAAAACCTGCAGGCTCAATGAAGAGGTGAAGAGCAGTTTCACAGCAGCTACACCTTCTGTTCCTTGTCATCCTCCACATTAGACCAACAGCATCAACACCAACTAGCAATTCATCATTATTAGGAACAAAGTAGAAAAAAATCAATCATAAAAACATTAAAAAGAGCTTGATATTTTTTAGTGGATTTTTTAAAGCTAAATACTGTAACGCTTCTTTTTTGTAAATCCAGTTTGTTTCCCTTGTATATTCCTATGTTTTAGTAAATTCAAGTCAAAGAGAGTGAACACCGTATGTCTGCATGCTAATTGATTGATTCACTTGGTCTATCTACAACCGTCTGTTACACAAAACAAAGATACTCTCACAAACACACAGTCATACACACTGCCACAACATTTCAGCCTAACCTGGCTATCGCTGAGGCTTCCCATTTACTAAGGGGTTTACAAGAAATAAAACTTAAAACATTTGGCTACGGGCATGCCTCCATAAAGAAGTCAGTTGTCAAATGAGGGAAAAGGTTTCTTCTGATTTTTTTTCGAGTGATTTTAATTGTGAGAAACAGCTGGCTTTTGGAACATATTGTCTCACCTGCCTGCCTAAAATACTCTGATAATCATATGTAAAGATTTTAAGATTAAAACTGCCATGGTAACTCATTACAACCTGTTGGCGATTACAGATGGCAGCAACAGGATATCATGTTCCGCTTCTCAAACTGCAAACTGGAGAACTTGTTTACTGACAGTTTAATTTACACATTGTTGCTTTAGTAAGATTGTCACCAGTTGGGGTTTTGTTTAGTTGGCACTGCTGCTAAAGCCATTTTCTGGCTTCTGTTTATTCCTGTGTGAAACAAGGTACAACCTGTATATGAGACCATTTCGAGTTATTTAATGGGGTAATGTATAGTATGTGCAAAAGTCTTAGGCCACCATTAGAGTTGTTGTTTTAGCAAGCAGGTAAAATAGGTATTGAACACATCACCATTTTTCTCAGTAAATATATTTCTAAACTTGCAGTTCACATGAAAATTTCACCAGATGTCAGTAACAACCCGTGTAATCCATACATACAAAGAAAACAAATAAGTTCAGAAATTAAGTTATGTGCAATAAAATGGACACAGGGAAAAGCTACTGAACACATGAAGAAAGGGAGGTGCAAACAGGCTTGGAAAGCCAAGACACCAGCTGAAATCTATCAGTAATTAGAAAGCAATCCTGCCTCTTGTCAGTGGAAATTAATATCAGCTGGTTCAGTCCCAACTGATGGCCTATACTAAGTGCTAAGTGCAAAGGGAGATCACACTAAATACTGACTTTGGACTGTAGAAACCATTGTGTTCTGAATTTTTATTATTATTATTGAGTATATATTTCCTGTATTTTCTGGTTTTATCTTAATAAAGAGACAGAAAAAATATGAATTATAAACCTTGCTAAAACAGCTAAACTAATCGTGGCCTAAGTCTTTTGCACAGTACTGTACTTGTATCCGTTTTGACAACGCTGTTAGCAGTCTCCTCTGCTTCCTGATAGGCCGGGCCCAAAACGTTCCATACCTGCCACATCTTTACTGCCTGATCAGACACAAACTGAACTTACTGAATAAAGGTGTCAGTATGCTTTAGACAAAGTGGTCTGGCCGTTGAACAGTACCTGAAACTACTCCCCCCAAACATTTCTTCTGACATTAATGGGTTGTAGCTGGGGTTTTTTTTCCATCACCTTTGAAACAGTCACAACTCTTTTCTGGTGACCAGTAGGCCTGTAACTTCATGTTTTCATGCATTCAGCAGTTAGTTTGAGTAGAGAGCTGCTTGACCTCACTTGGACATAATGTAGAGTTCACTGGAGAGGACGTTCTCTCTCTTTGCTCTTTGTCGGCACCACAGTTCAGTGATGAGGGTGATGCAGTTTCTATAGACGGATGGATAGCTGACTTCTACAAGCCATAATCTCAATAATATGAGTAGGTATCTTCCTCTGCAAATTTCTGCCCAGACATTTAAAAAAAGCGAATCTTTTCCTCCAGACAAATCACTTCTTTTTGGAGTATGAATCAGACATACAGACATCAGAGCACTGTTTGAAGGGCTGATAGTGGGAAACTGGTCTGTAGCCAGTGACGGTGCAAATTGTTTCAATCAACGTGAGAAAAATGTACACTAAAAAAATTAAACAATGTCCACCCTGATACATTAGATTCCACAGCAATTTCCCCTGTTACATATGCTGCTTCTTCCTCTCTTGTTGTTCTGTATACTGATTTACAGCCTGTACAGTGTCAGTGTTTATGTTATCTATGTGAGTGTGTATGTCAGTGAGCTGCAATTCACAAACATAGTGATGCAAAAAGTTCATCTAGCAGATTAACTGTGAGATTCGGTGTCATCTGGACCCTCAAGATGGAAGTCTGTGTTTTTCTCAGACAGCGTGTGTCCCCATGAATCATTCACCATCATCATTTTCACATGTCACCAATAAACCCAAATGAATCAAACTGGTACAGCACGATTCACACGGCCGTACATAAACACATATAAAACTATACAATCAGCCACACATCCATACACCCGTACCCATACAGAAATACACACACTGGACCATATAATACAATATTTTGAAGGCATTAAGGAAAATCTATTTAAATAAATATGAATAAATTAAATAATATAAAACAAATGTGTTAAAAAGAAATTCTGTTAAATACAGCAAAAAAAATTCAAATGGATTCAATAAATGACAGCACTTGCTCATAGACAGAGACCATATGTATGCAAAAGACTGGTACATTTTGTAAACAATGACAGGAAGACAAGCACACAAACAGGTAGACACATTCACAAATCATTGGTGAGTAGAAAGGCGGTGATGGTGGTGGACTGTTGTTCTTTAGGACCAGATGCAGTGGGAGGATGGCACTTCTCAAATTTGTCCCAGAAAGTACGTGCATGCTGTGGTGTGTTTAATCACTCATTGGCAGTGCTGCTATTGTTCCTTCTGTTCAGGAGGGCTATGGTCAACAACCAGAATTACTGAACAGCACCAAGGCCTGTGGCAGAGTAGACAAACATGACCAGATTTCTACAAGATTAAGTAGTGCTCAAGGAAAAAAGCTGGTTGTGAGATCAGTTTACATGTTGCAACCAGGGTCAGGCGGTGATCTGTCATGGAGCCAAGGTAGCTGGGCCATTTCCTCTGGTAACATAGGTCTATCCAGTGAAGAGTAATTAAAACCTTAATACTATAAGTGTAGGGTTTCTTTGGCCATGCCTGTACACCCCTGTGTAATTAGAACATGGACACCAAAAACCATCTGGACCATAGGTTACTGGCTCCAGTGCTGCATGTTAAATAATTAGAGCAATTACTGTGCTGTAGAGTATTTAACACTCAGTCAGTATACTATGATTGCACTACCACTAATCTTAGTGTGTGCATAAAGCCAGACTTTGCAATAACAAATAACATTTCTCCCGTCTTACAAATTAATTCTCTTTGCTCAGTTTAATAGACTCAGGTGTGCTTGGTCTGCTATGTGGAGTAGCTTGTGGTGGCTAACATTAACTAATATTAACCAAAGGATAAGGACGGTCATGGATGGAGACTAAAACTGACAATGGGGTGCCTCTATTCATGATTAATGTCTGTCAGCTGACAGTCCTGGATCAGCTGATTCATCCATAATTTCCCGAAGTTAGCACGAGTCAGCTGTGCATGAGGAAGAACTTATGCAAGTTCTCAGCTTTGCTTCCATTCCTTTAGCTCATCACACACATGTCTGGGATTTGCTAATGAAGAAACGTGTTGCCCAGTGCAGCAGCATGTTTCACTGATGTGTTTTTAATAGCTTTTGAACAACAGCAGAGGTCCATCACACAGAAGAACAAGCTGATCCAGGACTGATACACTGACAGCCTTTAACCGTGAGTAGAGGCAGTTCATTGTTGCTTTTACTCTCTGTATGGAGATCACTGAAAATACTATTAATATAGAAACAATTACTGGCCTTATGCTTTAAATGGGTTTTTTGTGTAGTGGATATCATTGAGTCAGTTTGACTTCATGATTCTCCTCTTTGTGTGACTGTTGCACTGTGCTTTAGCATCTGCCATTACCTTATTATCACTTGTGACCATGACAGCTGTTCAGTGCTAATTAATGCTGGATTTATTCCATAATGGCCAAATGGGAAGGACGGGGGTAAACCTCCCATCATTATGACTTAGAAGCGTTCAGACATTATTCCAACATGGTTAACCCCACTGCTTGCCATTGTGGTCGCAAGTCTTGCACAAGTCTGTTAGCAAGTAAAACCAACTGCAAACAAGCAGTGTATGGCCAGTTCCTTTTTAATTAACTGTATTGATTACATTGGTGTTAATAATGGATTTTATGTAGATGCAACTTCCAACGTTGATGATGCTTCTGTTCATTTTGCTTCATGGGAGGTATTGACTCAAAATTAGTGGGAGACTAATATGTTTTTCGCACTCAGCTGCTCATACACAGTAATAATAGACTTTAATGTGGCAATGTTTGGGAGTTTTAGCAATGTGCATGATAACACAACAGAGAATATCATAAAGTTTGAGCACCTGGCTCTCAACATTACACTTTAGCACTTAGACTGCTGATAGTCAGTGTGGTGTGTGTTAAACTGTTAGCATTTGCCTACATACAGCATAGTGTATATCTGTGTCCAGAGTCCCCATTCTGTCGCATGTGTTAATACTGTGGAGAGTACTACAGAGTACATGCACTCTCATTAGTGTGTTAATGTGGAGTGTTAGTGTGCATACAACGTTTACAGAACTGCCTTCTACAGGGCTCACCAAGTTACATTTAAAGAGCCCATGGTGCTTTTCCTTGTCTTCTGATTTACCTACAATGTTACAGCAGTGAAATCTCATCTTATACATGACCTAAAGCACAAACAATAAGGTGAACATATGATCTAGTACTTCTGTGCAGAACCAACTCGGTTTATACATGTCTCGTAGACTCTCACTCATGAGACTTTTTTTCTAACAAAATAAAGTATTACGTCATAGTTTAAGGATTTCCTTGAATAGTCATAATCTTGCACATTCATGTGAGCTTGCCTGACATCCATCAGTGTCATTTTAAAAGCAGAATGTTTCAACTGCACCTGGTTTTGTAGATACATTTTCCCTCCTCCTGCTGCACTGTGACCAGAGGATGCAGAGAAAAATACAGGGCCTGAGGTTACTGCATGTCCGGGAATGTTCCTGTACAGGGACTCACTGTTTTACCTGACCAGGTCTAACCTACAAGCAGCCGGCCAGTGAAGCCCCCCTCGGTGGTGAATGATCAGTTCATCAACACTGGATTCCCCCGGAGCACAGTACTTTTTTTGTTTTGACTGCTTGAGGCCAGTGTGGCTGCAGAATGTGATGTGTTGCTGGTTAATCAGCAGATTAACGACCCATGACGTTATTGTTGGTGCTACGCTACCTGTTGAAATTAGTGTAACTACTTTGGGACTGTATGTGGTCGTGTGGGGAAAAACACAGTGACCACCAGTTGGGTTTACTGACCTTGGGGCTACTTGAAAGGGAGTGATGTTTCCACTACGTGGTGGGACTTAACGGTAAGTTTAAAAAACACGTTAACCGTCTGTTAATGCCTTGTTTCTGTAATGTTAGAGAGAATTGTTGTAAGGCTGGAGAAGTTACTATGTCTGCATTATGCCAGTTAAAATATGGGGTTTCTCAGTTACTCGCTTTGTTTAGAGTGTTACACATCTCTTTTCATTGGTACATAAACTGTTGTTTACCCATCTATGGAGGAAAAATTCATATTAATTAATGCTGTTGTGGTTTGTTGTGCTGTCCACTTTAAACACACCACTGGCAACAGGAGTTGTGCACATTCACGAACTATCATCATTTTTAGGAAGAGGCTCTCTGGTTTTATGGTTCTGAAACAATTACAGGCTATATGGAGTCATGAGAGGTACCAAGCTGATCTAGAGGAACCCAAGATTAAGCATTAAATGGCTGGAAATGAGCAAACTGAGCAGCCATGGGCTCTTTAAGACAAGGTAAATCTAAGGCCATACTGTTGATAGCAGAAGTGACAGTATACAACAGCCATCGACATTTTAGTTTGTGTGTAGTTTTTCCCACCAGCCTGCAAGCAGACACATTTTTTTTAGTAACATTACTGCTCAGCAGGTGAGAGAAAATATTTGTAGCTTTTATTTTACATTTTAGTAAGGTGTTGTAATTAAAATTTAAACTAGTTATACTTCCTAAGGCTTTTTAAGACTTTTCGAGCCCTGTAGCCCAGTGGTCCTTACACCATCAGTCACACTGACAACCCAGTTTCATTATAAAATGTATTCTGTATGTCATGTTCACTGTTAAAATGTTTAGAATGTATTAACAATTCAGTCTGTGCTAATGTGTCTACAAACCCAGCACCATGGAAGTGTTGGAGCCTTGAAATCAAAACACAGCTAGAGGTAATTTAGTGTTCATGTTCTCCTCACTTTATGCCTAAGTTGCCAACAGAGCTATCACCTATCACTCTCTTCCTTTACAGCTACGCTTGTTCAGAGTCAGGGTGCTGGCAGGCAATGTGACTACCAGAATGTTTGGTTTTATGGTTTCTGCCCCATCAGACAGCACAAGTTTGACGCAGGATCACAAATGGAGGAGTAAAGAGCCTCTGACTTGTGGTAGTGTAGAGTATTTTGAAGGCCAGTGAAACCAGCGGCGCACACAGCTTCACCATTCAGTTTGGCGTCTGAGGCGTACATCTAGCAGGGTCAGTCAGATATAACAAAGTGGTGATGGAATGGTGCAGTTAGGCTTTATATCTCCTGAAAATCTAGTGCCAGACCGTAGGGATACATTGCTAAGCCAGTAAGAAAGACTTTAACACCTGTGACAAAATGTGTGTAATATATGTTTTTCATCTACTATAAGTGATCATTCTGGATGGTACTGTACACTGCAGAAGGTAGACTCATGGGGAAAGTTATATTTAAGTGTGTGCATGTACTGACATGCATACTATAAGATGTGTGACAATTTGAATATGAAAATGTATGTGCCTTTAAGCAGGAGCAAACAAAAATAAAAATCAGTTCACATAAAATAAGTTAAATTTAGAATGAACCTTTAGGGTCCTGAACCACAAGTAAAACAAAAGTAAATCTAGTGAAATGATGGGATCCCTGCCAATTCCTTCATACCATATGTGTATACTGAATTCATGTATGTGAAGGCACACACAGTACTGTTGTCTTACGAAAGCTTGTAACTCCAGTACTTGTGTTGTTCTCAGATAAATGTCAGTTAAAGGATTAAATGTACAGAAATAAGAAAAAACAGCAGGTACAACTCTACAGTGAACAAACTCAAATCAAGGCAGATTTTGTTAGTTCCAGAAAAGTAAACATGTTGGAGATGCATGATATTTACCCAGCAGCAACAGTGTGTATGTACGATGTTCCTGTGCTGGGGAACTGTGTAGAGGCCTGTCATGGAGAGGGTTAAAGGGAGCACAGGGAGGGCTAGGGCTAAAGTATGGAAGGTGTGTGTGGTTGGGGGGGGCTATAGGATTCCATCCATGAAGCTGGTGTCCAGCCGCTGGATGAGCACCCGGATGAAGGACATCTCCTTGCGGGTGTTCTCAAAGATCACCCTGGGATCATCAGACTGGCAACGCAGACAGTTGGGAGCCATGACCATGGCCAGGTTGTTCACATCCATCTTGGTGATTGCCACATTGGCAGGCTGGGCAAATACCTGCACAAAACATATAGTTTAAGTCAGATTTAAGACATGGTCTCGCCTTTCTAAAGCTTGGTTGGGTAATATACACCAATCAGCAACAACATTATGACCACCGGCAGGTGAAGTGAATAACACTGACCGTCTGTTACAGTGTCAGTGTGTGGGGTTTATTAGGCAGCAAGTGAACATTCGGTTCTCAAAGTTGATGTGTTGGAAGCAGGAAAAAGTGTAAGGATGTGAGTGACTTTGACAAGGGCCAAACTGTGATGGTGAGATGACTGGGTCAGAGCATCTCCCACACTGCAGGTCTTGGTGGGTGTTCTTGGTCTGCAGTGGTTGGTACCTACCAACAGTGTCTAAGGAAGGACAAACGGTGAACTGGAGACAAGGTCATGGATGCCCACGGCTCACTGATGATGAGGTCGACGTACTGTAGACTAAACTTTCACCTTCCATTTGTACTTTTCAAAAGATTAAAATTCATTTGAATCTTTGTTAAAAAGGTTGAAGAGAGTCAGGAGCTGTAGTGGTGATATCACACCTGGAGTGGTGAAGCTGTTGAATTTGTTTAAATTCAGTTTTCACTCCTTATACAGACGTTTTTCAATGAATTGTAGACACATCTGTGCTCTTCCTGACAGTACAACTGTGGAAGCAAATGGATTCACAGAAGATGCACAGTGAGCTGCAGAGTGACACGAGTACCAACCGACTGCCACATTGACTCCTATGTAAACAGTATTAGGCATGTGGTCATAATGTTATGGCTGATCAGTGTATGAGATACTGTTTTTTTTGTTTTTTTTTACCATTTTTAATTGAACCTTAGATCTTTATTAAGTCTGGCACAGTATTCAGGTAGCGAAAAAGTCCAAGAGTGGTTTTGTTTAATCTGTGGATAATATGCAGCAGTCTCTTTAAGAACACTTGAAGGTGTGAGATAATGCTACTGTCCTTATTCAGCAACAACTACAGACTGTCCTTAAAGAGACGTTTCAGATCTTAGAAAGCAAACAAAAACGGATACTATATGTGCTAGTATCCACCTCAAAACAAAGCAGCTGGACGGAGTTTAGTAGTGATGGGTCCGGCAACACCGATGCGTCGCCACATGCGTCGAGCTCGTAGAGCAAAACCCCGTGTCGGTGCGCGTATCGCTTTAAGAAAGTCACGTGACCGATACAGGAACTGTTTCGAACTGACACTGCCGCGCCAAACTGTGTTTATAAGGAAGCGCATATGTCAACGGGATACATCTGCCAAAACGATTGTCTGATCTATTGCGGTTCATCGTCACATTCATCAAGAATTATGGAGCAGCCTCAAGCCAAAAGAAAGGTTTCCGCTGTGTGGGACCATTTTGATCTCATATCGGAAAATAAGGTATTGCCAGGTCCCAGGATCCTATGAGATACTGGGACAACCAAAAGGCAATCTATCCAAACCTCTTCCGACTTGCCTTACAATTTCTCTGCACTCCAGCCTCATCTGTGCGTGTGAGCGGGTGTTTTCTACAGCTGGAGAAGTTGTATCAAAAAAGCGTAACAGACTCAATTTCAAAACGTTGGAAAAACTTATTTTTTTGAATAAAAATTCGTAAAAAAATAAAAAAAAAAGCCCAGTCCACAAGCATCCTCATTCACAACACGTTCATTTAGATTTTCACGTTATTATACATGTTCACATTATTTACTGACTGTATCTAAAAATATCAAGGAAATTTTAAATTTAAATGAAGATATGAAATAATACAATATAAAATACAATGACAAATTATATTATTGTATATACTAGGTCATCAAATCAGTGTCAGTTGAGTCTGTCAACTAGGTTGCCTGTAGGGATTTTTAAGGTCCAGCAGGTGTCAGTATTCAGTGACACAGTATCGACACAGTATCAATACAGTTTGGCAATGTGTCAAAACGCTTCATGACGCCTCATCTACCCATCACTAGAGTTTAGTTTGTGCTGCTCACAGCACTGAAAAATTATATTGATAGTCGACAGCAATATTTCTTTATAAACACACAATATTCATGTTTTCAGGACAAGTCCCAGATCGGTTTTTATAGAGTATTTATGATTTGGTAGATCAGTTGACAGTGTGTCTGCCCAGACTTTATTCCAAATGAAGACGTAATCCCTATAATGAACCTATTTACTGTCTCCAGCAAAACTGTTTACTTATACCAATACTGAGTGTCTCAGTGGTAATTGATGTTAAAATATTTTAGTAAACTGTATTAATACATGAAGACAGGTATGTTTAGGAATGTGTCTGTTTAATGGGTCTAATAGTTCACGCTGGTCTAGGGCTGAACGATTTGGGGAAAATAATTGAATTGTGATTTTTATTTGAGAAACACATCATCATGGTGTGGGGCTGTTTTTTAACATACAGCACTGGAAAGATTCATATAATTGAAGGAAGGGTGAATGGACAAATGGAAAAAAAAAATCTGCAGACATCTACCAGGATGATGAAGATGAAATTAGGGTGGACATTTCAGCAAGACAATGATCCCGACTACGACTACGAACTATTAAATAAATTTCAATAAGCATGTTCAATACTTTTTCCCTGTGCCATTCTATTTTATGAAACTTAATTTCTGAACTTATTTGTTTTGTTTTCTTTGTATGTATGAATTACTTGGGTTGTTACCAACATCTGGTGAAAATTTCACGTCAGCAGCACCTTTAGGAATATATTTACTGAGAAAAATGCTGACGTGTTCAATACTTATTTTACCCGCTGTACATCTCTTGAAATAGCAAACACCTCTTGCACAACTATTTTAACACTTGGAAAAATAGTATTTTGGCATTAAAACTCTACACAGAAATATCAAATGAATACCCGTTTCTATACAACAACTACACACTTGTGTGATAAATGGAAAATATTACTAAACACTCCGTCTTTTGTATTTTCACTGTGCTGTAAAAGTTTATTATAGCACTCACACATACATGCATTTTCACAAATTCAATAGGCTGTCTATGAAAATTCTGTATACACACTATAAAACAAATACAAGGAAAGTTTTCAATAGCAATTTATGGTATTTTTTCTGTATTTTAACAGTAGCACACAATATATATACACACATTCTACATATAGAAAAGCTGCATCCTGTCTCCTACAGCATGTGGGTCTGGCCACAGCTCTTCATCGACAAGAACTGTTTAATCTGGCCAGGCAGCGGAGGAAGTGGAATGACGTATTCAGTCCTGGCATGCTCTGGCATCAATATCACCACATTCTCCTCCATCACCTGGAGAAGGAGTTTGTGTTGGTGGGGTTCCAGTGCCATACTGAAAAGAGTTGTGATGGCACAATGTCCTATGATGTTCCCATGACGATGGTGGGCAGTGTTGGTTGATGGTGACAGTGAGGTGATGATGTGGGCAGTGTTATAGGGACCAGGAGTAGCATGATGATGAATGACACCAGTCTGGCCAATGGCTGCACACATAGTGATGCTGCCACCACCAGAGACAGTGATGATGGCACGGTGTCCTGTGATGTTCCCTCCTCTGTGCCTTGTTTTGGCAAAGTTAAAGCCAGCTTCATCAGTGTACAGAAACTCGTGGTGTTTCACAGGTGTTTCACTGTTGCAGAGTTGTGCTCTAATGGGACCCCATACAGCTGCTTCATGCCTAGATGATGCCTCTTCAGGAGACAGCCCAGTGCAGATGCTGCTGCTGAAAGTTATCTTGTCATTAACGATGTGCTGCTGCAGAGCTATGCTATTGTTTGACCATATCTACGATGGGGTCGTCAGGTAGTTCTGCAAAAACATGATGTAAATAGTTCTTCAGTAAGAAATGAAATGCTACTTTAAGTTACGTAACTGTACTATGGTATTATATTACAGTATAATATACAGGGTGCAGTTCTGTGAGTTCAGTATCAAGGTGCATACTTACCTATTCTGATTTCGAGATGTCCGGATGATACGTGCTACAGTGTAACGGCTCAGATTAGACTGGACTCTCTGCTCAGCCTCTCTAAAAGACCAAATCTAATGTGCAATGGTAGCTCTTCCTCGTCCTCTTCCACATCCTCATCTTCTTCCTCCCTCTGCAACATTCACTTCCACTGTTGTTCAAACCAAGGCTTCTACCATGAGCCAGCACAGGTGAACACATTAGTCATAACTGTGTCTACATGTGAGGACTGGGTTGGGCAATTGCTAAATGGTAGTGGCATTTGAATGGCAGCCTCTTCCAAAAGAAACACAGGGAATGTTGTGTCTAATGTAGAGAACTGTGTTTATTGTTTTGCAAAAAGTGGGTTTTCAAATTGTTAAATGAGTGTAAAGCAGAGAATGTGCTTATAGTTGAGCATACCAGGTCAATAGAGTGGATACATGAGGTAGTGGTTTCAATAACTGTGCCACAAGTACCACTTTTTGTTCCTTAACAATTGCAACAAACTGTAATATGCAGTCCCCCCATTTCTGTTTTATTCACTGAAAACCAGCTTTATTGTAAATGAGAGTATCATTCTGATACAGCACTCAAACTTGTGCTGCTCCACATGCACATAGAAGACGGAGTCTATCTTTATCCCTGTGATCTCACAGCTTTTCTAAGCTGGTTTAGTTTTACTTAGTATCATCATGTTTTCACTATATGAACATCATTTATGATGTAAATGATGTCATTATGTAATGTAATTATTATATAAAATGCTGATTATTAATTATTCATGAAATTATTATGTAATGTAACCATCTAATTTATGATGTAACCATTTAAAATAACAAATTGCATCCCATATTAATCCAATATGGGCGACTGTGTTGTGTTTTTCTTAATGCTGGAAGAAATCTGACGTGTTGTCTCACATTGTCGCTACCGTAGCCACGCAGGCTCAGCATGTTCTTGCTGCACAACCTGAGCTCTAAAACCAAAGTACTGTTGGTCCAGAGGCCCAAGTAGCCTTATGTTTCTGTTGGCACTAATGTCAGTGTTGTCTCAGAGTGTGTGCCTCAAGCCTGCAGGGACACAGCTTGAATTTTTTCAAAGCTGCAGCCTGTAAAACCACATTTCAATGGCAGTTTAAATCGCAGCTTTTGCGATGTGAAAATCGCATCCTGCTAAATTGTGATTTCAATTTGCAAACAATTAATCATTTGGCTCTACCCTGGTCTATGATGCTTGCTTGCCCTACATCAGCTCCAGTGTTATCATTTTATTAATTTAAAATATCAAATGTCCAAAGTCATGGTGTAATATTGTAAATGTAAACTGAAGACGTTGTGACTGTTAAAGATCCAACTTGCTTTAGGATTTAGCGTAGGTTGTGGTAAAGTCTGTTTTACCTGCAGGAAGCGGATGAGGTAGCAGAGCACCAGTTTGTTGATGTGTGGCAGCCCCAGCACCACGTTGACAGCTGCCTCTGGGTTGTCGTACTGATTGATACACTCCTCATAAAACTCGTGAGGGATCAGTGGCTCCTCCAGCTCCCTGTACCAGAGCTTCAGCAGAGATGCTGGGGGCACACAGGAGGACACACAGGGTCAGTGACAGCACACTTAAAGCCTGTTTAGGAATTACATGAAATCATTTGAACATTTGCTCTGCTATTACCACATGTGCATCACCTTGTTTAGGCTACAGTGTGGGAGCCATGAATAAATCTCCCCTATTCTGCTTTACATGAGAGCAGTGTAGAAGCAGACCCAGGTCTTTAGGAGCCCAGGAGCAATCTCAGTGTGGTAGCAGCGCTCTCCAACTGTGTGCGTGTTTACCTGGAATGTGCGGGTCTTCCAGCCCTGTCGGGATTTTCCACTGATCCACTTGTAGTTTGAGGGCATTGACTTCATCTATGTCCCCTGGTACCCTGAGGGTCAAAGGTCACAGAATTGTTACACTTCACCATCTTGTCTTTCCAGTCTCATTCCCATCTTCTCTGTAGATCTTTATGGCCTGGACTCCATTTGGCTGTGTATAAACCGTAAATCCTGCTAACAGCTGAACAGTGAATGAGCTGAGTGGCTTCTGTCAACTGTAACCTGCTAGTTTTCCCCAAGGCTGAACAAAAGGTGTTATCGTTATCGCTATTTCAGGTCAACACCAGCACCAGAATGGTACTGCACTGCAGCATACTCCCAGCCTCAGCTGCTCCTCTTCTCCCCTCTCAGCGTAAGCACATTCATTTGTGACAGGAAAATACCAAACACATCACTATGAAACAAAAAGTAGACGTGTACCTGAGGAGAACTACACAACAACTGCGAATGAGGCAGCACAGGTACTGATCTGTCAATGTTGTGTTCACAACATTCTGCTGCCCCCAAGTGGTCAGAAAAACCTGCAGGTTTATAATCCCAGAGTTCAGACACAAAATGACGTATGTACCAACTTTTTACAGCAATGAGCTGAGAGGACTGATCTTTGCTGTAGTAAAGGAGACTAAAGCCACATCACGTTTCTTGTGTTTCCTCTCTGTATTGTTTTTTATATTTTTTTCTTTTATTCCTGTCAGTTACATGGATAAAATCATTTACACACTTTACATTTAGTAAGTGATCAAATAGAAATTAGACTTCACATCTTGCATGTATTTGCAAGATAATATGAAACAGCCAGCAGAATTCTATTACTGAGGAAACTGATGACAGATTTAATCCTGGGTTTACTAGTTTAGAGTCAAGGGTGAGCATCGCTCACACTCATGTTGATATGACTTCAACAGTTTAAATGGCATCTCAGACAACACTTCTTGCTTCATGTCATTGCTTTCCAAGTGTGAACACAGACTTCTGATTTCCAATTAAAAAGCAGCTGGCCTCTCAATTCTCTGCCCAGTCCCTGCTGCTCCCTTCTCTCACTCACCTGAAAATGCCTTCTGTCTGGTCTCCATTGAGACCCAGAACCTCTTCAGAGAGCCGAGTCTGCACCCAGGGCAGCTGGTGGTCTGGATACCGCTCCTTCTGGAGCGCCATCACCTCCTCCAGGGAGGAGCCGAACATGGAGGGACTAAAGATGGCGTTTCTGGCATGCTTGATCTCCTCCAGACAGGGCTTCTGTAGACCCTTTAAAGAGAGGCACACGCACAGAGGAATTAGTACAGCAGGGCAGAAGAAGAGCAGCGTGACTACCTGAACACCATGGGCCAGAAAACAGTGGGAGGAGAGGGTACTAATCACATGTCCGTGAGAAATTCATTTGTCCCTCCACAGGACACACAGCCCGTTAATGTGCTGTTAGAGGTTAGTGGGTTGACACCAGTCAAACACAGTGGAGCCCTAAAAGCGACAAATGCTCTCTGTTAGTGACCTGCTGAGATTCTGGCAGTAGATGCTCTGAGTCAAGGTGCTGTCTATCAACACACACAAAACACACTTCAGCTGTTTTCAGACATGACCCCCAGACTATGTCCACAGAATCAGTCCCAGACTTTGTCCAGAGGTGCCCTTTCACACATATAGCACACAGGACACGCTCCATGTCAGACATGTTCTCACCTACTGGAAATACTTTGTTCAGTTTGTGCTTATATGTGACATGTAATACCAAAACCATGGTCATTAATCTGCTGCTACAACAGCCTCAACTGAAACACCAGCACTGGGCAACTCAACATGGAGCAAGTATCTGACAGGACCCTCTGAAGTGGGACTCTTCAATGTCCAGCAATGTTTGCAGTGTCTTTAAAAGCCCCAGTTTAAATCATGTTTTCATGTCTAGCTGTAGCTGTAGAGCATGAAACCCAGCTACAATGTTTAAGATCTGAGTCGTGACTTTAAATGAGATTTGCACTTCACCTGGATGTGAAAAATATTCCATTATGATGCTCACTAAATGCAAATACTCATGCTTATATGTACCTACAGTAGATTACCTCCTCTTGTATAAAAAGTGTATTTGTATATTTGCATGTTTGGACATAATGTCTCACCCTGAACAACTACAAAATGATATCCAGACATATGAGCACATTTTCCTTGTGCTTGATGTGAAAAGTCTGGTGCATATTTTGCAAACCAAACCTAAACTAGCGTCTCCTACTAACAAGCACTGTGTGTGCAGCAAAGCCTTCATCTGTGTCCAGATTACTATTTAACACATCAGTGAGCTACGCTGTTGCACTGGGTGACATGTTCCTTCATTACCATGAACACACACACCAATTTAATTTGACCATCCAGCTGCTAGGCACCCGAATGTGGATATGCTGTGAATCATCCCCAACAAATGTGCCAGTTACCCCTGTATTAGTAACATTTGCCAAAACTTACTTGACCACTGTTTGGGGAAATTACTGAGCCTTTTCAAAATGACATATATCTGTGAGGTGTTTTTAAAGAGAGACATCCTCTGTAGGAACCAGTAGGCCTGGGGCTGAGAGCCAAAGTCAGGGTAGGGAAGTCCAAAAGTACTTTAAGGAAAGTGAGTTTTGTTGTTTGTCTGAGCAGAAATGACATCATAAACACTGCTTACCTTCTTGGCTCCAGTCAGAGCAGCTTTTGTCAGTTTCCTGTAGCAGTATTTAGCATAGCTGCTAATGGCCACTCCTGGAGCAACACAGAACAGAAGGCATATTTACACCATTATCTTCTTGCTGTCGCCTCACAGCAAGAAGGTTCCGGGTTAGGGTTAGGGTTAGGTCCACCTGGGACCTTTCTTTGTCCTTCTTGCATGTTCTCCCTGTGCCTGTGTGGGTTCTCTCTGGGTACGCCGGCTTCCTCCCACAGTCCAAAACTAGCTGAGCACTGGAAAACACAGTAGACTGGTGGGAACTGATTCATTCTGTGCCAACAGCCGTCAGCTCCTTTAGTATCTATTGAGGACAGCCTAAGAAGCATTTGTCCTACATTAGCACTGAGCCATGTGTGGGCGGTGGTGGAAAGTAACTAGGTACATTTACTCAGGTACTGTACTTAAGTACCATTTTAAGGTATCTGTACTTTCTTAAGTATTTTCATTTACTGTTACTTCATACTTTGATTTCACTACATTTTAGAGGCAAATATTGTACTTTATAAGACCTCACTGGTCTGTGGTGGAAAATTCACAAGCTATTCAGCAGTAATTCAAACTAAATACATATAAACTAGTTAAAACTAGCTCCCCCTTTACCAGCTGCAACATTAAATGGGATGTACACAATACTGCATCAGTAATTATAACATGATAAAGATGTGCGTGAAATGTGCCATTCTGCATAATGAGTACTTTTACTTTTAGTACTCTAACTATGTTTTGATGCTAATAATTTTGTACTTTTACTTAAGTAAAATTTTGAATGCAGGACTTTTAGTAATTAGTAATTTAGTAATTGTACACTTCCTACTTTTACTTAAGTAAATGATCTGAGTACTTCTTCCACCACTGCCTGTGGGATATTGGTTATTAATCTGATGCACCTGCCTGACATTTATGGACAGAGCAGAAACAGGAACACCTATATACTGAAAAGTAGTTGTTGTTTTTATTGTAAATGGTTGAATCCCAGTTCCCTTAACTGTATCCACATTTCCCTCACTTGCATCTTTTCCCTGTGTCTTAGCCCCGCCCATATAAGATTAGAGCAAAAGATGCACATCTTTCATCTGAGTGTCCAATCATCAACTGATATCCAGAAAAGGGGTGTGTCCATTCACTAAAGGCTTCTGGGAAGGATGGCCATGTGTACTGTATCCTCAGTCATGGCTCCTCCAGGCAGTGTCATCACTTTTCACTCCCCAGAGCAGCAGTACGAGCTTGGGGACATCTTTAAGATGGCACATGAGAACGACTTCCAGGTCGAGCGAGGAGCAAGGAACAATCAAATCAGAGAATTGGGATTTATCCAGTGTTGTGTCTCCTGCTCATGGATGATGGTTGTGGAATATTATTTTGTAACTGACATGCTGAGTTGCATCTTAGCCTTCAATACAGAGCTCTATATTTTACATGGGATTTGGTTTGTCAGGCTATTGATTTTGTATTTTGTAAGAGTAGTAAATATCCTGAATATATCTGATGGATTGCACTGGATATCTGTATCAAGTTCCCTCTTATGTGAGATTTCATCCTGGAATTCCCAAAAGACTGTCCTAAGTGCAAGTGAAATCAATATACCACACTGAACAGGCCAAAACTAACCAGATCATCTCCATCTGGTTCAGGGTTACTGGCACTGTCCAGGGACTGTGTTCAAAACATGTTCTGACAACGACTTCCTTACATGTATATCTGTTAAGTTACCTACAGAGTCAGAGTCATCTGCAAAACTACAAAGTCTTCATACCAAAGGTATGTTCACTGATAATGTATCTCATTTGTTTTCCTGAGATACTGTGTTGCTCCCTCACCCTTGGTGTCATTGAGAGGGTCCATGTGCCGGTAGATGTAGCCCTCCAGGTAGGTGTGGAAGCGGGGTGTTGGGGGGAAGAAGGCCAGACAAATAGCCATCAGCTCCCAGCCGCGTTCCAGGCTGTCGTAGCGGAAGTTCTCTGTGGTCTGACGGCACAGCTGGATGTAGAGCTCATCACGCAGTCCTTGGTTACTCCACCCACGCACCACCACCTAACGGAGACAGTCAGAGAGCCAGGCAAGTTACGCAGTATAGCTTTGTCTCTTTGTGAATGAAAATTCTTGAATGCAGTTGCTGACCCAGCTTTGATCATTCTGGAGACTGCAGGTCATGCTACTGCTGAAGTGTATTATACTGAAAGGCGTTTCTAATGTTTTGCTTCCCTTATTTATATCAGTGAAGGTAGACTGGATGTTAGAAACACATTATGCCTTTCAGTAAGATTTTATACATCATTACAGTGACTGTGTTTTGGGCTTTTCCAAGTTGTAGGTGACTGACCTGAGTACATCCTGTACAGACACTGACAGAGGACTGACGCTGCTACATGCCAGCTGTGCAGACACTGTATCATGACTACTACCTTCCCTTGGTAGTCACATTTGATCATCTTCTCAGTAGTCCACTATAAACTGTCCACTTTTTAAATGTTTAATGTTAATGTGTAACTAATGTGTTTTTCTCTCTGGAGTTGGTGGAGACCCAAACACGTTGAAAAGGAGAGTGATTATTGGACATACATTCAATAAGTGAACACAAACATGACTCCAAATGAATGATCATATTTTGTAAATAGGAAACTGTTTGCTAACATGTTCACTGTGTTAACTGGTTAGGTGATAATATGCCAGTGTTGTGTTTATAGCTAAAAGTTAAGTTCTAATGTGACCATAAAATGAAAGTGGATTAAATTAATTACTACAGCTTTGCATGTTTAGTTAAATATTTCCCTACTTAGACATCCAGCAGACACGAAACAACATTACACTACATAAACAACGTAACCTTCATTTATAACAGCATCACCTGGTGTATTGGGTTCACTGCACACAGATGTGTGGAATCATTACTTATTGGTTGGAGTTCATTGTGTGTCCAGACACCCAGAGGGAAGCAGATATACTGGTGTGTTCTTTAATGTGTTGCCCATAATTATGAAAGGCCTTTAGTTTTTAACCATGTACGTGAGAACCTGGAACTGGATTCTTTTCGCCACATCCTCCCCATCGATGAGGGCAGGTTATTTCCTATATTTATTCTATTTTCTATTCTCTCTTTTATCCAAGCAAATTTGACTGTACAGATTTTCTTGGACTTTACTGTACTTAATACCAAAAGGAAGCCTTGGAAGTATTGTGTGGTTTCATTTATATCCATTGCATTCAAAAATAGATGAAAGATGTGCATGGCAGGAAAAGGTTTGGGGTTTATAACAGATAGGAGAATGTGTATACATCTACCAAAACTCTGATCCAGGCAGGTGAATATTATGGAGACAGTGAAACAGATAGTGATGAAATGAACTGAGGCCAGATTCTATGTGGCTCAGGAGGCCGTCCCCTAACTGTAGGGTCGCAGGTTCAATCCCTGGCTTCTCTAGTCCACTATTGGATTGTCCTTGGGCAAGACACAGAACCCTGATTTGCCCCCAGTGGGCAGAATATGAGGCTCATCTGTGTTTGTTTTCAAGAAGATTGAGATTTATAAAAAATAAACAACCACGTGAATCTGCACAGTTTCATAAATCTAATCATTGTTTTTTCTATGCACGTAAAGTTTTGGTATGGCTCCCATGCACATAGTATTAAAAATCAGGAAGGAGGTTTTTAGAAGCTTTCTCTCAAAGTCATATTGCAAACAAGGACACAGCGTCAAATCATTCTAGTTCAGTTTGTCATGACAATTCATTAACATTTCTGTATGCGTTCCATTTCAAACTAACATAACTGTGGCGTGCATTGGTGAGTGAGTGTGAGGAGGGGAGACCTCCAGGACAGAGCAGTGCTTCAGGCTGTCCACAGACCTCTAGGGCCACTGAGAGGGGGTCAGTCTTGGAGCGACGGTCTCCCATGTAGGTCTGGATGAGCTTAAAGATGTCCACTGCCTCCTTCTTCACAGTGCGGTCTGAGGTCACGATCATGGGCTTCTTGATGGGCTCACTGCTCCAGGCCAGCATGTTGGCAATGGATACCTTTTTTCTAAAAAGACCCTGAGAAAGCAAGCAACAGAGTGGGTGAGAGGAGTGGCAGAGACAGGGAAAGATACTGGGAGGGCAGCTGCCATTCTCTCTCTCTCTCCTCACACTGCTTTGGATTTGTACATGCTGACAAATGCAGTCCAAAACAGACAACAGAACAAATACCAGCACAGATTTGACAGAACAGTGTGACATTAACATTGGCATTCAGAATAAGGTGAAATGACAGGACCATGTCTTTCACTGTCCCCACTTCTCAGCTAGTGTCAGCTGGGATCTGCTCGAATCTCCCCAGTCATAGACAAGTAGGTAGAGTTAATAGATGAATGGATGTTTGTCACTGCAGTGCAACAATGAATTGTAAAGACAGAAACACAACAAACAATATGACAGTGAAATCATCATTTGATAAAGGGACATCGGGATGTCTATGCTGTCATGCAGAAACACACTTCCTCTTAGTACCTGTGTGTGTTTGTTGAAGTGCTTGGATGCCCAGTTCTCAATGTCGGTCTCTGAGGAGGGCTTTCTCAGGGTGAATTCTGGGAAAATGCCACAGCTGGCGCTAGGCATCATATTTCTGGCATTTCGACTGGCCTCAAACTGGACACAGGCTCCGAGGTCCTCTGACTGACAGGTGAAGAATCACAGAGAGGAAACAGAAAATGCTGTTCATCTTGGTGATGCTGCTGAACATTTAGAGTGGCTTAAGAGCCTGAGAAAGTTGGTTTAGACTCAGGAGGAGCTGACTGGGATTAAGTGCAACAAAGAGTCCTCAGGCTCTTGATGGAAAAAACAATCTAATCTAATGGCTGTATATTCAAAGCCAGCCATAAACATTAAGGTTACATCAACATTTTATGGTGTTCTCCTGCTTGAAGCAGCCGTAAAACAGATACTGTATGGAAGAAGGAAAGGACGAGGGAGCTGTAATATGGAAAGACATGCTGCATTAGCTGCTAGCAGGTCCTGTTCAGGCCTCTACGTAATATTTTCAGGACCAAAACTAACACTGTGCATTTGATACTGATAATACCGTATTATATATGATAACTTTCAATCAAATGCACCTTTTTATATGATTTCTAAATGGATCTGTGTACATTTCATTAGAATGAATAAGTCATGCTCACTGTGCTAACCAAGGCATTACTGGCTACAGTATAGTCCCCACAGTCCCTACAGGCTGCTATTTGGACAGACCCAGCTTATTTTCATACTCGTCAGTAGTAGAGCTACATGTTAGTTTCTGTGCTTTTTAGTTTTGTTCTAAACAAAAGGTTACTAAAATAGATATAAGAGAAAAAAAATCAAATCTGCCCAGATTAGATTGTGCGATAGTGCACCAATAAAAGTGCTGACCTGGTGGTAATATGGCCGGTAGTTGTTCAGACGGGGTCGGGATATGGCCGACCTAGCTAACTCTCTTCTCTCCCTGTTCATTCCATCCTCTATTCTCTCTCTCTTCATCTTTTGTCCACCGCCATTCTTTCCCGTATTTCAAAGGTTGACCCTGCTCAGCGGGTTACTCCTTCATACTGAAGTGTTGCATTGCAGAGTTTAAAAACAAAGAAAAGGCCGGTAGGAACAGAGAGAGACGTAGAGAGAAGTGGCCTTCTACCTACGTGCACTGATTTCCTCATCAGGCCTCTGAGGACATGGCATTGCAGCCAGTGCTTCTATGTTCACTTCACGTGTCTCTTCATATCACACTTAAACATTTAGTGGTTTATAATAAATACAGTTCAGTTGTGTTTTAGCTCACAGTGCTCTCACACTAGAACGTTGAGTATATGTGACACTGAACTGAACTGGAGACTAAACAAGGTGCCAATACTAAGAACCAGCAGCACATGCACATACAGCATCTGGGGGCACAAACTGTCTCCTTCTTTCACTAAATGTTTTGATTAAGCATTGTTCTTAACAATTCTCTGTTTTTTGTATCTTCTAACTTAATTTTCTGTGGTTTGGCATTCCTACTTGTACTTTCAGATATCAGCCTTAATATACTGTTTACTGACAGCTTTACATCTATAACACTTTTATTATGAAGCTGTTACAAAAAAAAATTTCACAGAGGTTTCTTGAATAAATGCAGACATACTCTTCACTAATTGTGCACCATTAAAAGATAAGGACAGCTGACAAATAACCACCTCAGGGTTCATTCAGTAGCTGTTCTGGAGCTTTCCATTGGCCCATGAAGCTCATGTGATATGACTGAATGCTCTCAGATCAAGGATGAACTTTTAGTTCATGCCACACTCTCGGGCACAGGTCAGGTTCAGAAAAAGGCCTGATCCGTGCTCTACCTTGATGTACTAAGAAAGTCACTTTTGGCTTTTCCCATTTAGGGGTCGCCACAGCGAATCGTCACACTGACGACTCGCATGTTGACATTTGGCACGTGTTTTATGCTGGATGCCCTTCCTGACGTAACCCTGATTCAAACCCGGGCCGCAGCGGCGAGAGCGCTGCGCCTTAACCACTAGCCTACCAGGGACGGCTCTCTACTTTGATGTACTATGCTGGGATATTCTACATTCTCAAGAGAAAAATGTCACAAGGACCTTCCTTGTTAGTTGATGTGAGCTGGACCATGGTGTTTTGTAATAACACAGTTAAAGCTGCTGGATTAACCATACGTTAATCATCTGTTTTGGTGTTCTAGAGGTGCTTCAGCATGGTGCTCCTGTACTGTAGTTGGCAGTGACAGTGTCTCACTGTGACTGTTAGATAGGCCAGTCTATTATAAGCCCTGACTGGGTCATTACCTGATTGTGTGTGTGGGTCCATCACTGTAAGTGACTGCAGTAGCCTCAGGAAAATGGTTCCAGAGGTCAGGTGGGTGTGATGTACCGATACCCCACTGTGATGACTATGCTTTATGAAAACTTGGGTCTTATTTTGGTGGTTTGATCATCATTTTTATAACTTATAATACCTCTATACTCATCAAAGCGATTGCTGAGATATGAGAAGTCCAGAAAGACAAATGAGCAGTCAGTTATTCTGTAAATGTGGACACAAACTCCCAGCATGCAGCAGTACCTGTGAGGGGTGGAGGTAAGGCTCAGGGGAGGCCAGGTTGGTCTGGACAGAGAGGCTTTTCTCCAGCAGGGCCTGAGGAAATCCCAGTCGATCAAAGGTGCTGCGTTTCCAGTGGTGGCTGTCACTCTGTGCCAGCGCCTCATCCTCGCTGAACGCCCTCACCACCGGCCCCGGTAATGGCAGTGGCACTGCCCCGTCGCTCTCATAACCATCTTTGGAGCCACTGCCCTGGGACGCCCCCCCTCCCTGCCCTGAGTCCCAGCTACTCCTCTGTTTCATCACCTGCTGAGCCTCCCAAGCAAGCCTGGCCTGGGCCAGCATGGCCTCGGAAGCTGTGCCTGCCAGCTCCCCCTCTAGCCCCCCGCAGCGTGCCAGGTCATGAGGGAGAGATGGCTTGCGGCTCTTGCGTTTGCGGTTACCTCCTGGAGAGAAAGCCTGTACAGAGCCTGAGGAGAATGAATGGGTGTGGCTGGATGTCCAGGATATGGAGTCCTCATAAAGCAACCTCTGACCTCCCTCTCCACCCTCTCCACTGTAGTCAAGCAGAAGGCGGGGGTCCCTGACCAGAGACTGGTTGTGCTGTAGAGTATAGGATCCCCCGTATGAGCCCCCATAGCCCCCGGTAGGGCCGTAACGCAGCAGACGGTCAGCAGTCTTGAAGCGAGGGCTGGAAGATGACTGCTCAACATACACTAGCTGCTTGACATACTCCTTCCCCACGGGACTGTATTCAAGACTCTGGGTCTTTTCTGGGCACTTCTGCCTGGTCAGAACCAGCTGTCCATAGGGCGACTGGGCCTGCTTGGGAGAGTGATAGAGGGGGGCTGAAGACTTGCGAGCAGGTGACTTGCCAGTGCCATAAAAGGAGGAGTCAGAGAGCTGCATGTCCGTAGGAGGCTCCTCGTAGATGGGAGGGGACTGGTACTCTGATGGTGGCTCTTCATACAGCGGTGGCTCATAGGCGTAACGGGGCGAGGGAGGTTGGGAGTCAGCTGAGGAGCGGCGGTGGGTGCCGGCGTTGCCAAGCTCAGCTCGCTTCAGAAAGGGAGACTGACGCCGATCAGCATAGAGAACAGGGGAGCCGTCAGGTTCTGATGGCAGGGTTCCTCCAGAGGAACGACGGGTTCGTGAGATGGTGCCCCCTCCAGAGGGAGCATTAGGGGTGGAGGGGTCAGAGGGGGAGTATCCATTTCCCTGGTGGGCCAAGAAGCTGGGCTCTCTGTCTGTCACCTTGATCAACATTCGCTCCTTCGTACCAGTGTTCCATCTGAATGGAGATGTTCTGAGGAGAGGAGAGACAAGAGGGGGGAGAGGAGATTTAATTCTGGGTCGGGGCACAGTGATAAAGAGTTGTCTGTCATATTCACACTACAGGACCTGGCAATACTTTGAACAAGCTATTTTATTAAAGCACAGTGTGATACTTCTCACATGCTTCTGCTACCTCCTAACCCACTATGACTAAATAGAAACGGAAATAAGTCTATATAACAAATACAGTGCCTTGCGAAAGTATTCGGCCCCCTTGAACTTTGCGACCTTTTGCCACATTTCAGGCTTCAAACATAAAGATATAAAACTGTAATTTTTTGTGAAGAATCAACAACAAGTGGGACACAATCATGAAGTGGAACGAAATTTATTGGATATTTCAAACGTTTTTAACAAATAAAAAACTGAAAAATTGGGCGTGAAAAATTATTCAGCCCCTTTACTTTCAGTGCAGCAAACTCTCTCCAGAAGTTCAGTGAGGATCTCTGAATGATCCAATGTTGACCTAAATGACTAATGATGATAAATAGAATCGGAGCCACTGCCCTGGGACGCCCCCCCTCCCTGCCCTGAGTCCCAGCTACTCCTCTGTTTCATCACCTGCTGAGCCTCCCAAGCAAGCCTGGCCTGGGCCAGCATGGCCTCGGAAGCTGTGCCTGCCAGCTCCCCCTCTAGCCCCCCGCAGCGTGCCAGGTCATGAGGGAGAGATGGCTTGCGGCTCTTGCGTTTGCGGTTACCTCCTGGAGAGAAAGCCTGTACAGAGCCTGAGGAGAATGAATGGGTGTGGCTGGATGTCCAGGATATGGAGTCCTCATAAAGCAACCTCTGACCTCCCTCTCCACCCTCTCCACTGTAGTCAAGCAGAAGGCGGGGGTCCCTGACCAGAGACTGGTTGTGCTGTAGAGTATAGGATCCCCCGTATGAGCCCCCATAGCCCCCGGTAGGGCCGTAACGCAGCAGACGGTCAGCAGTCTTGAAGCGAGGGCTGGAAGATGACTGCTCAACATACACTAGCTGCTTGACATACTCCTTCCCCACGGGACTGTATTCAAGACTCTGGGTCTTTTCTGGGCACTTCTGCCTGGTCAGAACCAGCTGTCCATAGGGCGACTGGGCCTGCTTGGGAGAGTGATAGAGGGGGGCTGAAGACTTGCGAGCAGGTGACTTGCCAGTGCCATAAAAGGAGGAGTCAGAGAGCTGCATGTCCGTAGGAGGCTCCTCGTAGATGGGAGGGGACTGGTACTCTGATGGTGGCTCTTCATACAGCGGTGGCTCATAGGCGTAACGGGGCGAGGGAGGTTGGGAGTCAGCTGAGGAGCGGCGGTGGGTGCCGGCGCTGCCAAGCTCAGCTCGCTTCAGAAAGGGAGACTGACGCCGATCAGCATAGAGAACAGGGGAGCCGTCAGGTTCTGATGGCAGGGTTCCTCCAGAGGAACGACGGGTTCGTGAGATGGTGCCCCCTCCAGAGGGAGCATTAGGGGTGGAGGGGTCAGAGGGGGAGTATCCATTTCCCTGGTGGGCCAAGAAGCTGGGCTCTCTGTCTGTCACCTTGATCAACATTCGCTCCTTCGTACCAGTGTTCCATCTGAATGGAGATGTTCTGAGGAGAGGAGAGACAAGAGGGGGGAGAGGAGATTTAATTCTGGGTCGGGGCACAGTGATAAAGAGTTGTCTGTCATATTCACACTACAGGACCTGGCAATACTTTGAACAAGCTATTTTATTAAAGCACAGTGTGATACTTCTCACATGCTTCTGCTACCTCCTAACCCACTATGACTAAATAGAAATGGAAATAAGTCTATATAACAAATATATTCCTGCGCCAGAGTCTGTAAAGAAGTCCAAGTCTTTACTTTAGTATCTACTAATACTCACAGAAAACAGACAGAGGAACATTCTGTGGGTGGAAGAAATGTAACTGGGCAGTTATGGTCACTCCTGCTGACCCTGAGCTTGATGAGTCATGGTGAGGAAGAGTGGATCTCAGAATAAGGTTTGATGGACAGCTAGGAGGTCAGAGGCCAGTCAGGAGTCAGAAGAGGTGCGGTTGACACATTCTAATTTTATGCTGCTTCTTTCTTTTCCAAAGACTTTAAGTTTGTTGATAATGTGTTTTGTCAAAAAGAGAAACATTAATTCAGACAATAAACCACACTAACACATTCAGGCACATTAAAACACACAGACTCGCATATATTTCTGAACTATCAGCTACCCATTCCAGACACACAGTAGATCAATGGAACAGCACAGCGGAGCAGTGGGACTGATGCGTCACAGCAAGAAGCTTCAGAATTCAAACCTTTCTTTCATTTTAGTTTGGAGGGGGCACTTTAAATCTTTATTGTAAAGTGGGTCACAGAAGAAAACAGGCAATAGAAAGGGGGGAGACCCGTGACAAGTGTCGGTGGTTCGAGTCCGATCTTCCTGCACTGTGTATGTGTTGTACGGCGCTCTGTCAAAACCATTCTGCTGTTGGGGAACTTGCCCTTCTGTGTGGAGTTTGTATGATCTCCCAGTGCTCTCTAGTTTGCATGCGCAAGATCTCCATCTGAGCTCTGCTTTGTTTTCAGTCTGCCAGCTCCTCTCACTTACCTCAGACGCTGTAGGAGGTTCCGGCCATTTGGTCCTTATGAGACAACATTTTTAACAAATATGTGGGTCTGGTGTTTCGTAATGAAGAAACGTGTCACGTAGTGCAGTGGAGTGTTTTGCTGATGTTTGTAATCGTGTCTGAACAACAGAAGGTCTATGGCACAGACAAATCCAGGACTGACAGACATTATCCATGAGTACAGGCAATTCATTGCTGGTTTTAGTCTCTACTTGGAGACTATGGAAAATACTGTTAATATAGAAAATGACCATCCTTATCTTTAACCCAAATGCAACAGGAACACGCTGGACTGTGAACAGTTTTGGCATAGTGACCAAACTGCATTACTTTTACATTCATCATGTGATGCAGACTGGCGCAAAAAGCATTTTACCAGGAAATCATTGGAAAAAGAGCAGCTGTAAAATGGCAAATATACTTATTCTGACCTCAAAACCAGAAGAAATGAACTTTATTATCAGAATTTGTTTGATTGGGACCAGTACCATTTAGAAAGCCTAAAAGACTCAAAGGATCTATTTTATCTTATCCCACTGATGTGTGACTCACTTGGTTTTCTTCTTCCACAAGAGGGCGTGACAGAATAATTTTGAGAGCCAATGCCTTAATAACTCCATTGCAGTCAAATCCTTTGTCCAAGCATATTACTGACTTACAAACTGCTGTTAATCTATTTGCTTGTTCTCCTGAAGGGTAATACTGAGTGCAGGGACAGCGCCATAGCTCATATCCACCAAACACAGACCTCTAGCTCGTCAGTTCACATTCACTCAGTCAGTGAGTGGGCCCTCGCATTCCGCATGTTTGTCAGACAACAGGAAGGAGGAGGAGGGAGAGCAGTGTGGGATGAAGAACAAGAGGTGAACTGGGAGAGAGAGAGGGAAGTGTGAAATCAATTGCTGCATTGGCCACCCTCTGCTTCCAAATACTTGCACACACTGATTCCCAGGGAAGATGCTCAATAGTGGCAGTGTGAGTGTTTGTGTACTTGTGGATATGAATATGCATATGTGTGTGTGTGTGTGTGTGTGTGCGAGAGAGAGAGAAATAAAGGGGGTAGGATTAAGCATTACAGGGTTGTGCTGGCATCTATCACAACATGTTCCATACTGAAGTTCTAACCCACTTTCATTCTGTCTTCCACAGTCCATCCACCTTTCTGCTATAAAGCTCCATCACGTGTCCAGCCATTCCTCTTTTTCTGTCTGCTGGCCTGTTCCCTCTACATACTGAGCATTGTTCTTTCGCCCCCTATCCTTAAATTATTTACAAAAACTTGACCTTCACATCAATTTTCACATTCCATGCCTCTTCCAATCGGTCTTCATTCTGTCTCTGTCACTGCAGCGACAACATACAGATCCTTCCTCTTCCACTCATTTTACTTCAACCAGAAGCTAAGTTTTGTTGCTGCTTCCAGTGACTTGGGCCTTTTAGTAAAGGCACATGCATGTGATGACAAGCTGAAATCTACTAAGCTTGGACAAGTCACACCTAAAAGCTGTTTCAGCCAGCTTGAGCAGAATTTTAGCCTCTGTCAAGAAGAAGCGCACACCTTACGACTGAATAAACACAGTGACTGGCTGTAACAACAGGAAGTTCTGGCAAAACTGCAAATCAATTCTCACATGTCCTTGTAATAAATTAACATGCCCACCTGACTAACATTGTTTCTGTGCAGTGCAGTTTGTGCCGGAAAAGGCAAAAAGAGGAGAACTTTTCAGAGTTTTGGTGAGACCCTGGCCAGAGAGGCATGGACAGTGTGCACCGAATAGTCTACACAGGGAAGAGGAATTCATTACGTGGTGCATTATTTTAATCCTGTCACCTTGGCTTTTCTAAAGATTATATAGTTGCAAAAATTTGATTATTGGCAAAAAATAAGTGACACATGAAAACACATTTAAAAAATAATTTACAGTAAAACTACATTATCGACTGCATGGTCAGGGACCACAGCTTGAAAACCCCCTGCCATAAAAACTAAAACCAACTATGAATTTGGTGCACTCACCATAATGTCTGTGAATCCAGACCTTGGTTTTGTTTATTCGTGCGTGCCGAGAAACCAGCTCAAATATTATCATATCATACAATTTATTTTAACTACACAAAGTGGTTTAGTGATTCTAAATCACAGGCATAAAACTGCAATACATTACAATACTACATTATAGTACTGGACTTACAGTAATCTATGCCTTGTATTGCCAAATGACAAACAGTCCATTACAATGTGCAGAAACAGTAGCTCTGTTACAGTTACAGTCTGGTGGGGCTTACGTTTGTAACGCAGTGTCACCACTGTCACCAAATCTGATGAGTATTACCACATCAGCATAAGGGTATGGGTATCTAAATAAACATATACATACAGTACATACATGAAAGATGCACAGCTGTAGGTAACTTTATGTTTCATATATAACTGTTGTTATGCCTCCTTTTTATTTTTATTTTATGGTGTAAACATTTAAACAAGAGTATCTGCTCAGTCACACTGTATGTGCCTAAACCTCTGTTTGTATGACTAATGCATGGGACTTGAGTCAAGGACCTTATCTGTTCTTTCAATACATGAGAATAATGACAATTAAAGAATAAGTATTCAAACAGCACCAGTGGATGCTACAGAGTTTTCTTTCCTTTCTGCACCTAACTGAAAAACTGTGAATGTTGTTTTCTTTATACCCAGTGATAAAACTAAGTCCTGCCCCGTGAGTCTGTTTTATAGTTTGTGGATTTCAAACACAAATCCAGTGAAGTATGAATGGGATGACCACAGAGGAAGATACAGGCCCTGCCCCTGTGGTTATTCGTTCTGATCTACATAAGACATCAGACCTCACTGTAGCCATCCTGTACTGTAAAGGTAGACAAGATGATACTGTCTAATATGTAGTATGAATGAACCATCTCTGCCCCATGGATTCATGGACAAATACATCAAATGACATTTAAGATTCAAAACAATTCATTCAATTCAAAACAACAAGAAATAAAAAGGGATGTATGCTAAAAACATGATACATTTAAATGATAATACATTATTCAAGCCTGCTTACACCTTTAGCAACACACATCTGTTTAACCTGGTGGAAATAAAAAGCCAAATCATGAACCTATCCTCTAACATACTGTGGCTTAGGCTAAAAAGCTTCCTGATTAAAAAAACACATCATTTCACACGGGAGACGAACTCCACCCTCCTGTGGGAAAGTCTGATGTCCGACCCACCATCCACCTTGGCCCCCTCCTAGTGCAGACTTTCACTCTTCATCTACTACAAAGTCTTGCTCTAGGCGTCAAATACTGATGCAAGTGTAAACTAAACCTTGCACGTCTCACATGGAGCCGTTGGCGTTAATGGAAATATATATGTATTAACGCATTTGTACATGTAGGCAGGCAAGTCACTCTTTACGACTACCAAGATCAGTCCTGCATCACAGTTCTCCCACTACGCTGTAGGAACAGGACAGAAAACTCTTTCTGTCAGGGAGCACAGTAGTCAGGAAAGCTGCACACCCTGCACGTGTTGCAAAGAAATATCCAGTCAACTATTTGATTAGCTTGACGATGCTGTCACACACCAGTTGCGCAGTCATCCAAACACTGACTGTTGATTGACAGGTCATTCCGTTTGCCAGCTTACATTTCAGTTTGAGATCAAGTCACCCCTCCATTTTTTTCAGAACATATAGCTCACATTGTTTGTGCATTAACTCTGATATGTCACCTTTGTGCATTCATTTGGCTTAGGCGCCTTCCTATGGCAGGGAAAGCCCTGGCTGGTCTAGTAGTGTTACATGCTGTATGCATATAACCTTAATAAACTAAAGGTCTTGTTACCATTTCCATTAAACTAGACTAAACATATAAAGTAGTGATACAATGCCAAGAGCACTTTTTTTTTTACCATTTGTGAATTTATTGCTTGCTACAAAACACAGAAAGAGTTTATGAGTCAATTTACACAT